GTCACACTCCAATTCTATCTGGAAACAAGTGTCTGAGGACAGGGACTTTGTATTATATTTGTTCTGTGTCCTTTTCCTAAGTCAAAAGCATCTCATGTTTGCCATTAAATGAAATGCTAAGTAAATGTCTGAGTATGTTTGGTAATCTGCCAGAAGGTGACACATAATGGTAGGGATGGAAAGAGTCATTATGGATAATTAGTTGAAATGACATAAAAATTCTCTAATTAGCTTTTTAAAAATCCTTGCTCCCAGAGAATATTAGGTGTTGAACCTCAATATATATTTACTCCTGTAATATCATTAGAACAGCCTGTAGTGCCATGGAACACATAAGGCTACCATCAGCCATGCGAAATTGTATCTATCAGCATCAGCTTAACTTATATGGGAAGAAACACTAACAGCTCAGTTGGAATTAAGAAGTGAGGCTAACTCAGCACCCAGGGGTGTCGAAAGAAAGAAAGAAAGAAAGAAAGAAAGAAAGAAAGAAAGAAAGAAAGAAAGAAAGAAAGAAAGAAAACAACACCCAGGAGTCCTCCTTGTGAACCAAAAATATGTTCTCTGTACCAAACTTATCAAGAATATACAATTTATCATGTTGCCACCCAAACTTGCCTCTAGCTCATTCCCCAGCCCCTCTTTTCTGATCCAGGAGACCTTTCTGGACCTAAAGCTGTCTCCTGCTCATTGCCGTGCTCCTTCTTTTATACCTTTATTCTAGGCACATTGTAATTTCTTTGTTCAAAAGACCCTGCCACACACTCACTCCACCTTTAAGATCAGATGTCACCTCCGGAGAAAAGGTAGTTGCTTCATTCTAGGGAGGGAACGGGGTCTAAACGGATGCGACTTTTTTTTTTTTTTTTTAACGTTTATTTATTTTTTTGGGACAGAGAGAGACAGAGCATGAACGGGGGAGGGGCAGAGAGAGAGGGAGACACAGAATCAGAAACAGGCTCCAGGCTCTGAGCCATGAGCCCAGAGCCCGACGCGGGGCTCGAACTCACGGACCGCGAGATCGTGACCTGGCTGAAGTCGGACGCTTAACCGACTGCGCCACCCAGGCGCCCCTACGACTTTTTTTTTTTTTAAGAAGCCAGAGTTTATTTCTACTTAAACAATACTCAAGCAATTTTCAGAAGGTAAAAGGCCCCAAAGATAAGGTTTAGTATAATATTATAGTCAGGCACTGACTGTTGCTGCCTGTTTAGAAATCTTCAGGACAACTCTGAGCACTAAGGTCTGACTAATTCTCCCAGTCAAAAAGTGGTGAATTCCTCTGAATTTTGCATAGTTCGAGGCTATCCCTCCAGTAATGATGACCAAAACCAATGCCAAAAGTAATCATTGACATCGAGAGAAAGAAAGGTAAAGGATGAGAAAAGAAACCCACCAGAGCAATTTCAAGAAGAAAAAATATTTTTTATAGTATAATTTATTGTCAAATTGGCTTCCATAAAACACCCAGTGCTCATCCCAACAGGTGCCCTCCTCAATGCCCATCCCCCATTTCCTCATCTTCCCCACCCCCCATCAACCCTCAGTTTGTTCTCAGTACCCAAAAGTCTCTTATGGTTTGCCTCCCTCCCTCTCTGTAACTTATTTTC